TTTAAACTCTAATTTTCAAACAGATAAGAAGAAATTCAAAAAAATAAAAATAAATAAAAAAATATTTCTTTTTATATATCCCTTATATAATTATATGTGTATATATATATATATAAAAGATAATAAAACCACCGTCTGCAGGAGGCGGCACCAGGGCCCTAGGTATCACGATTCACGAGTGACAGACCTTTTTGTTTTTTTTTCGGAAAAAAAAAAAAAAAACTAGAGATTCGTTGCATTTGAATAGATTGCTGTGTAATCCATAAACTATAATTTTTAGCAATCAAGTTTCTCAGATGATAATTTGGTGGATTTTTTTTTTCTTGGGCACAATGGAATTAGGTTCTTGGCAGAGCGAAAGTTTGATCCCCTAAACCCTTACCTAAGTCAAAGTTTTTAAGTTAATAAATCCTAATTCATCAAGCTCTTATTTTCCAATGTGTTACAAGATACAATTATGCAATAAATAATTGTAAAAAAAAAAGGAAAAAAAAAAAAAGAAAAGAAGGAAAACCATCAGAAGTACCATTTTGGTCTTATTTCTTCTTCCTTTTCTGTCAACTCTCGGTACTGGTACCACTCTGCTCCTGCCTTGCCCACCGGCATTGGAGGCCGAACAAAAATCTCAACAGGCCTGGGCACATGGACAGCAAAATGCAATTCTTTTGCAGTTTCTTCTACATCATTATCGGAATTTGTGAGGGATCTGCCCACCGGTTCAACAGCAATCCACCCCAGACCAGAAATAGCAACATCACTAGCAGGTCTGTTTCAAGCAAGAAAAATGAATGTATTAAAATTCACTCTGTTAAAGATAAAAATTAAGGAACAATACTGATGGAGGTGAAAACATATCTTCTGTCCAAGAAATAAGATAAAGTTTCTAATCTAATGATGGCTACAGCAAGGGTTTATCATTCAACCAATGCATTTAGCAGTTTGACTGTGAAATCTGAATTTGAATTATACCCTTTTGCATCTTCAAAATTTATTTGTAATTGATGCATGGTTTCAAGTCCTCTCCAGTCATCTACTCTTTCTTTTCCCGTTGGAGGTGTCAAAAGAACTCCGAGTTCTTTCTGCAGCAGAGGTTAAATCCTCTTATCAATATATAACATTGATCAGGTTCATGAGAGAATTATTGCTAGGTTGGAATTTCCTTCAGAAGATGCCTTAGATAATAAGATGTAGTCCTCTAATCAGTTAGAAAATGAAAGAGCAGGGCTAACGAAAGGAAAGAGGTCTTTCTAAATTTCAATTTTTATCCAATTTGGAGAAGAGAGGGCTGGGGTGTTTCTGTTTCTTGATTGATTCATTCTTTAACCATGAATAAAGGAGAAAATTCTAAGCTAAATTAGAATTGCACAATCAAACCTGGTAGAATTCATCTGCTTTATCAGTGGATACAACATGAATCTGCAAAGCTTTGGGTCCATAGAATGTTAAGCGTGTTTCTGGAAGGACCTGAAAGCATTAGGAACACCACGTTATTTGATCCAAAAGAGAATAAAAAGCAGCCCTAGTTGTTCTGACAATTTAATAACATAGAACTAAATGATTCTCACTTTTTTTTTTTTTGCCAAACATAGAACTAAATGATTAAAACCTTTAAAACATCAATTCTGACAAGGCCGCCCCAAAATATTGAGAACCCATTTAAGCCATTGGAACTTCCTTCCAAACCATTCCCAGGTGCCACCTGATAATTTTTGTGTACCATGGTAAGAAAAGCATAAAAAGGTTAATATAGCCTAACTTTTTTAAAGATCTTGAAAGAGCATACTGGAAATGATTGACCCCTTAGCCGACTTTGAGGAGCAAGAGCAGGTAAATCTTCGGAGTTGACTACTGCAGCTTGCCTATGGTGCAGATGAACCCCAGGTGTGTCATATAATTTCTGCAGGGAGAGAGCATACCAGAATATACGTTTATCAACATTCATAATATCAACATTCATAAAAGCCTAAAGGGCAATTAATAGGCAAGTGTTAATGAAATCAATTTATATGGTTAAAATGGCTTAATTAATTGATTTGAAGATGACAAAAATCTTCATCTGAGAGGGGAGACATTGAACATCTAAGTAATGAGCAGAAAATGTTAGCATACGCCTCCTCCAAGAAAAGCATCTATCTGAATTGGACCTAGGGTAGTTCCTGGAACAGCAGATTGAATTGGTTTGTACTTTTGTGCTGCTGCTGCTACCGGATCCCTTTGTGCCATCGTTTCTGACATTTAAAATAATTTGAACGGTTCGAAAGAAGCCCATAATTCATCAAAAAAAATATGAGAACGTAAAGACATATATACTCCAAAATAATACATCCCTCCCCACCCCCCAACCCCCACCACAAGGAAAAGGGGAAGATGAGGAGTTAACTTACCATTACAAACATAAAATAAACAGGCCAACCAAAAAAAAAAAATGAAAAATTACAGTATTCACTTACTCAGTAAAGCATTAATGAATGCTGATTTCCCAACATTAGCCGACCCCTGTTGGAACAATCAAACCTCACTAATCAGTATTTTAGAGGTTTCTTCTTTGGATGCCTAAATCTCTAGTTTAGAATAAAGTTCTTATCAAGTTAAAAGAAAAGCACTTAGAAAAGGAAGCCAGTCTGGGGAAACTAGATCAAGCAATCCATCAGCACATGCCAAATCAGATGTATCTAAGCAATAGAATATAGCATATCGATTATAGCCAAAGAGGGACCATATAAGCAACCATTTTTGCAATTACGAGAAATTAACCGCTAGATAAAACTCGTAAGAAGAAAAACACTGAATAAAATGGTAAACATGGAAAATCAATCAATTTTGACAGAGTTCACAAACTGGATTTTTATTTTTAATCCAACTTTGAAAATCAATGTGAAGCTTCCAGTTCAGAAACTTACTAACCAGAATATAAACATCCCGTCCCTGCATCACAAGAATTGAAATCAAGAAGTTAGGAAATTATACAGCAAGCCAGAAAAATTCATTGATTCAAACAAAAGCACTTAACTATACATTTGAGTTCATAATAAAAAGCACCTAATTATTGAATGTTACCACCTAAATAAAGGCTCCAGTAAAACTGTGTTTCAAAATTGCTTCCACTAATAATGATTAGACAATTTAGCCAAAGGTTTCAGTATGAAAATGTGATGCAGCTAAGAAAACTCTTTGATCTTACAAAAAGTAGGCATAAATATTCAGTACATGTTTGGTTGAAAAAGTAAACAGGTGCATCTGAGACCAATAGTCCAAGAGCAAAATGCAACTCAAAAAATAGCATCCTGCCTGCTGCTTTAAATACCAAATATTATCATCAAGAATGAGGCATATGAAAATGATTATCTAAAAACAACTGACAAGTGAAAAAAAACCTTCTTCTCCCTCTGAATTTCTGACATAACACCTGTAATCCCAACTAAAGACTTTGAGCTAGTGAGATGCACGCTTAAAGCACTGCCAAAAGGAAAACAAACAAACAAATAAATTAAAAATAAAATAAAGAGCAGCAGATTGACCTACAAAAATGCAGATTCATGTTTATGTCAGACATAACAGTATCAGTTGGAGATTGCTTCCAAAAACTCGTCAGTAAGTCTTGCTATAGTAGAAATGGTGCCAACATCATGAATCCTCAAAATAGGAATTTCTAGCAAAGACTAACTTACTTGAGCTTCTTCTTTGTGATGGTCTCTACGACCCAGTCACCAACACAATTAAGATCTGTCCCTTTTGGAAGGAGGTCGACCTAACAGTGAAATAAGAAAATATTGTTGGCCTTGCCGGAAATGACACATTTATTATGATACTACACTAAATGAGATAATAATCAGTGCACACATGATTACCTTTGTCACAACTAGTATAATTGGATTTGCACCAGTTAAATCACGCACACGAGACAGAAAGCTCCCATTAAAGTCCACCACATCAATCTAAGAATGATTTGACAAAATAGTTAGATAACACTCCTCAAAGATGTAAATTCCATAAGAGACACATTCATCTCCCTAGATATCAACATCTTGAGTCTTGAATTACACAGGCATCTGTCCTCCATAAAGTGCTATATTAAGCAATCAACAAGAGATTATATTTCATGCAGTGAGTTCTATTTAAATTATATTACAGAATATCTTATCTTTGCAATCCAAAAACTGAATCTGAAGATTTCTTAAGGTATTGAGTGAAGCTAATACAAAAGGAAAAAGACATAATACTCACTAATTTAACAATCAGAGCTTTTTCATGGCGCAAGTGAGACAGCTTTTCACGAAGCTCATCAGCTGAAACAAATTGCTTACCACCAGGATAGCCTCCATTACCACCCACTGCTGTAATCATGTGCCCATGAGATAGAAGCCGGCACCTCCCACAAAGAACAGTTCTAAGCTGGTGGTGTCTCTTCTTCTGCAAGAAAAAATAAGCAACCAGTGAGCAATCTAATGTTACTCTAAATTTTCATCCAAAAGGCATCTAAGAAGTCCAATTCCATTTTTCAAGAGAACTCAAAGAGCAAATGAATGACATGTTGCAGAAACTACCAGCATATCTTCCTTACCAACACATATATAGCACCCAAAATCCCAATTAACACCAAGAAACCAAATTCGCGGAACCCCCAAACTACAGGCAAAAAAACAAAACCCAGAATTTCATTTATGCATACCAATTCGTAAGTATCTGGGTTCACATAACCCGGAGCATCCACCTCCGCCGTCTGCAAAGGAGCTCCACATCCGTAACAACAAGCAACTGCCGTCTTAACCTTCAAAACCTTCTCTTTCTTCTTCTTCTTACTCTTCTTCATCTCTCTCATTACCAGCTTAGCAGCCTCATGCGCTTGTTGGCGTCCAAGGAAACGCTCACCGGGAGTCGGGGCAGCCGCACCAGTTCCTTCAGGATCAGCTCTCGAGCCCAATAATTGGGTGTCGGAGACTGGCGCCTCTGATTCACTGGATTTGCAGGAGATAGTAATGCGTCTTCTGCATATTTTGAGGGATTTGGGGTTTATATAGGAGAGATGGTGATGATTTAGGGGAGGAGGACAGAATAATGTCGAGAGGTTTTTGAGTGCCATTTCTGAATTCTGACCGTTTGCTTCGCCTTGGGTTTTAGAGTGAAGAGGGTGAGACAGCAGGGATTTTGCCGGGGAAGAGCTGGTTAAGATGATGACGGGGGCAGCATC